GGAAGTGGAGGAGACTGCTAAGTAAAGTAAGTTAGAAGAAGAAAGACAAAAAGCAGATGACTTCATTCATGTGCAATATAAAGAAACAAGAATAGACAAACCCAATACTAGAAATGTGACTGTAGGATTGAAACTACTGTGGGGAGGAGTAGGGAGGGGAGAGCAAAGGGGAAAAGGGGCTTAATGGACTGTGTTCGAGGATTATGTGTACTTTGGTGTTGGGTGTGATGTGATAACGTACATCTGAAGAGGTGTGCGCCTGGACCCCTAACGGACACACAATGTTGTAAACCAACAGTTACCTCACTTAAAAAAAAAGTTCCCTTAAACATTAAACCAGAAAGGTACCTGACAACTATTTGTAAGTAGAATTTAAGTGATACCCAGAGATGCAGTATAATTATCTGAAAATGATTTTTTCCCTTTACATGAAAATAAATTGCAGGTGTATAATCTGGAACATGGAATTTTCACCCCAGAAGTAACTCAGATTTTCCTTTTACTGAGAAAAAGAGCAATAAAGACAACTTAAAAGCTTACCTCCTCCCTCCCAGGCTTCTGGAGATCCCCTTAACTGGCAATACAGCTTACCCAGTGGGTTAGAGGCAAACAGCTGTCCCCAACATCTGCTCATCATTTAGTGATAAGCTCTTTCCCAGATTCTCTCATAGGTGGTGTGGCCAGGTATTATGTTCTGGTAAACATGACACCAATGTAATGTGAAAAGCTATTTTCAGGCAGTATCCTTAGATAAGAGAGCTGTCAGTTTTTGATCCTTCCTCCTCCTTGCTGGCTGGAATTAGACTCAATGACTGGAGCTTGAACAGTCACCCTGAGCCAGGAGATGGTGCTAAGCAAGCAAGAGCACCAATCCTAGATGATACAGAAGAAATACTAACAGCTTAGAATTGTCCATCTCCCCTCTTCACATGAAAAAGGAAAATTCATTTAAACCATTTTTTGTGCCCACGTAATGCAGCCAAATCTAATTCTGATAGATGTACCATGCCAAAATATATTTAGAAGCATGAAAACAGACATATGGCAGCATCTCACAAACTGTTTTTGCCTGACATTTGCCTATGGGTTGGACTGGCAGTTGGTCTAGAGAAAAAGGGATGAGTTTCTTCACCACACTTTAAAATAGAGCATCGAACCAGCTAGCGAGAGGGACATACATGAGTGGTATGTGTTTGTGCATATCCCAAATATTGTCCCTCATGCATTAATCTTGACAGGAGATACTCTTTCCAACATTTAAGCCCACAATCTACAGACTAGTAAACCTTCCTTGCAAAAGGGTAGTTCTTAACAATGTGTAACAACAACAAAAATAATCCTGTATTTCTGTTTCCATCAAAAATTCCAATTCATGCAAAGCCAAGGTAGGGTACAGGTTTTTAACTAGTTAACAAACAAGAGCAGTTGTCCACCTTGGCTGTACACTGGTCTCACCGCCACCGCTATCCTGGGGGATTCTTTAATTCAGTATGTCCGCGGTTATTCTAATGTAAGTAACAAAAACAAGTTTCCCTTAAGCAGGGAGTAGAGAAAGCTGCATTTCACAGAAGACTGCCAACTAAAGTAGAATGAAAATAACAATTTATGATTTAGGCAAAAGTCAGCAATGAATATTAAACCCTATTGGGGAGCAAGATACACATTCTCAAACTACTGACTAGGTCTTAACAATCACAAATGAGAAAAGCATCATTACTATGGAGAAATTGGGTAGACACTACCAGAATCTTAAGATCAGACAAACATGACCAATACTCAAACACAATTGACATCATTTGTTTCCAGATGTCACACTCCACCTCACCCTCCAAAGAAAGGTATGACCTGAGCCTAATCATGTGGAAGCAATCAGTCAAATCAAAATTAGGGGCTATTTTATAAAACCACTAGTCTGGGTTTCCAGTGACATACAGGGGGAAAAAAAAAGGAGGGGTGTGTTTGGAGTATTGTTAAAAAAGGAGACTAAAAAGACATGACAACTAAATGCCATGGCATCCTTGATTGGATTCTTTATTGAAAACTATAGGACACTATGGGGGTAATTATAGAAATTTAAAGATGATTAAATAGTAGTATTGTGTCAAATTTCCTATTAATAGTGATGTTGTAGTTAACATCAAATGAATGTCCTTGAGGAGAAAAGTTCAGTAGAGTACATTAATAATGTTCTTTAACTATAAAGTTTGTGAAAATACGTACCAAAAATATCCAAGAAATGATTATACACCTATGTCTTTGTAAGAGGAGTAAGATCATTGTGAGCACATATTTTTAAAACACAAAAACAAATTTTTTTTTTCCTGGCAAAAAAGGTAGATTATAGAAGGATGTCTCCTTTCCACTTTTAAGTTCTATGGATGACTCCTGACATGTTCTTTAAGGTCCAGTACTAATAGAAGATGAGTTAGTAGATTTAAATCTACAGAAAATCACATTATATGCCTCTTCAGCAAACGTGATAGACAGTTTACTAACCCTTGCAGCTAAATGGAAGACAGAGTTGTCTTAACATTTAATGCTTTGAGTGGCACCCTTCTACACCAATTCAGAGAATGTTCAGGTATAAAATTGGAGATCCCATCATGTACTGCCTAGTACATACACAGTAAAATGCTGAATGGAATTCTGCAAAGAACAAGTATTACTAAGAGCACCCACATTTTATCCCTTTAAAAGAATGAGAATTTTTTTCCTACCTTTGAAATCACCATGCCCCATAGGGTCAAGCTCTTGCCCTTTTGCAGTCTTTCTTACCTTTATTGCTGGAAACTTCTGTATTTTCTCAGTCTCATTGGCTGTACTTACTTGATTTAGTTTAAAAAAAAAAAATCTCAGGAGGAGCAAAAGAACAGCTATTCTAATGAGATCTTCCTTACACTTTGTCTCTGGCTCACTTTCATTGAAGTAAAGGTCATTGACCTCTTTCTCCCATTCTTAAAATTGCTACTTGTTTAAGTGATTCAGACATTTAAAAATGTAGAGTCTGTCAAAAATACAAGTACTTACTATGTTCTTCCTTCTACTAAAACATTTTTCTAGCAACACAGGAGCCCAATACACAAAACCATATCAGTAAGTCAGAAAACTGACCAAATCCAAAGAATATTCATTCCTTGATTTGTATGTGTATTTAGCAAATTACCTAGCAATTCATTTTAGGATTTTTTTGCAATTAAAGCATTGACATATGGTTTGAGGATGCTCTGATTCTCCAACTCAGGCTTTACTGATGGTTCTTGACACATGTAATCAATAAAGAAAGGAAGTCAAAACACCCTTCAATTTACAAACCAGGAGTGAGGAACAGAGGTAAGTGCCCCCCAAAAGCTCATTTAGTTGGCTGCAGAAATGTAGATGAAAGCTTCTCTAGCATAGTTACTTTTAATAATTGGCCCCTTGTGGCATTTTAATAAGTCATTTTACAGTGTCAGGAATACATATACTTTAAACTCATTCATATGCAAATGCATCTACCTGTGCTAAATAAAGGAGATGGCATATTAGAAGTCCACATACTCCCAAATTCCTATTTTAGATTTACCTTTTTACTTTCTTTTAAAACAATATACTGGATTCTGTGAAAACTAGAAATGTTTGACCTGAAAGAGGAATGCTTAGAGATAATTCATCTAATTCAGTTTCTTTATTGTGCCAGTGAAAAAACCAACCCAAAGCGACGAGCAGACTGACCCTGTGGTGAGGCACATGAGGGCAGAGCTGGCCAGACATGGGCTCTCACTGCAGGTCTCTTTCCACAGTGCCCCTTTAGCACCAAGCTACAAATGCATCCATTACTACTTCGTATCACCTCTAGCTAAGGCAAAAAACTTCAGAAAATGTATAAGAATCTATTCACACTTGATATGGAATTAAAATTCTGATACCCATCCTTATTTAGTGGACTTTGGTTTCCAGACTCAAACATGTTAGAAGTGGCAAATTAATTGCAGGGAAAGATGCAAATGCTAACAGTAAAGGCAGGAACGCTGTACAAAAAGGGCAGGGCCAGCAACACCTAACGGTCTGTTGGTTTCAAGCACAGGAAAATAAAATTTTCATTTTTAAACGGTTCAAACATGGAAAAATCTCAGCAATCTGTTTTTCGGAAAAAATCCAGTGGCATTTTATATTACATGTATTTGAGGTACTGTGACAATGTTACCTCCAGCCTAGGCTGCCTTGTTGTTTCCCTACATTGGCATAGAAGGTACCACCGAAAACGTAAGAGACACTACAGGAGAGATGTAAAAGCAAATTCATAAAGGAAGACACTAAAACATTAATTTTATTTCACATGATTATCTACCTCCAATTATCACTGATAATGCAAATTATGAATTACTTTCTGAAATGTACAAGACACCTGCTATGCTACTATTATTTTCATAATATAACTGTCTCCTATTTTCCACCTGAGGAAACATGCCATTCTTAAAATACAAATATAAAAGTGTTTATTTACCAATCTACCTCTTTATAAATAAAAGTTAATTAATGTGCGCACACTCATACACAATGGATTTGCGAATTCACTTGTTAAAAAGTGCATGCATTCAGAAAACATGTTGAGTCTTTATTAACCTTTCAAAGCCATGAACTTCCAGGTGAAGTAATGATGAAGGAAGATTTTCTGAAAATCCTTTCCCCTTTAACATTTAAAAGTAACTTTCTCCCTTCTCCCCTCAAGTTGCAAACATGTGTTTTGATATTTTAAAACACATGCTAATAACCCTATCCTCCAGAAACTTCCGAAAAAATAATCCCCGAGTCTATTCTATGAAGGACCATATAAGAAAGTTCTATTGACAAGAAATTCAAAATCTGCACTGGTTGTAAACTGACAACAGATCACCTGGGGACCAGGTATTACATTAAGAATTTTCCCAGTTGGCATTTAATGTCACAGTACTTACTGGAGAGCAACAGCGTCTGACTGTGCCCCACTCAACCATAAAGAATGTTACAGCATATGATCTTACCTCGAACTGTGGGTATGGAGGAGTCATAGCTGACGGGGGCCCTGAAGTGGGAGGCGGCATCCCTGAAGTGGGTGGGAACAGACCCAAGGCGTTCAGATTTAATCCAGGAATTAAATGTGCTTGAAGCTGCAATGGTAAAAAGGTCCCTTCATTATACAAGTAAAAGATGTGGTATAAGTAAGCATTTTATAAGTGACAGTATTTGTGACGTCTTGCCTAGTAAAATACCGCTTTATGACCAGTTTCAGAACAAAGCAGATGCTCCATGTGACTGAGTACAGTTTATGTTTCTTGGTATTTTAAAATCTGTGTGCTCCTCTGTACATCCCCATCCCCCATGCTAGGTTTCTCCAGGCAGGGACGACACTTCCCTTCCTCAACTGACACCGCTTAGACAAATAAGCACAGTGTACGCGGCTACACAGAACCAGCTATTAAGCAAAGCAATCTTAACTCGTTGGATCAATTTTGGCTGTCATAGTTACTAAAGGCCTAAAACAAAGTCAAGCCCTTTGGAAACCAGGGCCCATCCTCATGTTCTACTGCAACTAAATAATTCTTTGGGGTGGCTACAAGCATCAGAAAGGGGATTTGGTTTTGCTGTAATTTTGTCAAGGTTAAAAGTATGGTAGAGATTAAAGTCAAGATTTGAGCATACCTGACAATCTTTTTTAAAGGCTTATAAGGCTGGATCTACTCCCAACTGACAATGAAACCACTGGTGTGAAAATGTGAAAGCAGGTGGCAGGCATGTGGGGGAAAATGATTAGCACTCAAGGTAATATAGTTTTTTACATTTCCTTCTTTTCGGTGTAATATTTCAGATGACAGACCCTATTGGGGATTTTTTTTTTTCATCCTTTACATCAAAATTCAAGATGAACTTTTGAAATGTTCCATTTCCAGCACCATTTTATCCATTAAGGAATGTCAGCAATTCATTCTAATGACCTTAATTGCACGATACAGACAGTTTTGTCATTTGAAATTCTTTATCTCCAAGGGTTGTATGGGTAATCAAGTTTTAAATTTGTATTCATAATAGTAGCTCAATATGCTCAGTATCCACTGTAATCCCATTTTAAAGACCAAGTAAATTGTCCAAGAGAATAGAGCTGCAGCTGTTAGATGGCTGTGCTGGGACCGAAACCCAGCACACATTCTACAGCCCACATTCCTACGACACTTATCTCCCTGAAATTGTTAACTTCTGTAGGTAGGTTTTAGTCCTACCTCATTGATAAGGAAGCTAACATTCAAAGATTAACTTGCTAAAAATCACAGAGAGCCAAAACCTAATGTCAAAGCCTCTGTCTTTCCTACGATCCCAGAGGATCACTGTGGTGCTGAAATCAATTAGAAACTAAACCACTAAGGAAATCAGTATTAACCCAACTAAACACATCTTTTAACTAGTCATCAAAATAAAAACATGTCCATCGGAAAACTAACATTCATAGAAGCAATATCATTTTCATAAGACTCCCTGATTTTCTTCATGATCTCTTCCTCAGCTTTGGCACATGTTTCAACATTGCCTTTGACCGTAATGGTGCGCTCCGGGTTGTACAGCGTCAGTTCCTGCAACCTGCAGATTGAATACAGGGAGAAAGAAAAAGAATGGGAGCTATAGGAGGGGGGCAGTTAATAATAGTTCAGTCACAGAGGGCCATTAAAAACCAACTGTGGAGACTGACAATATGTGCAAGTGGGTAGTCAGATGTGAGGATATGCATAATAACTACCATAGACATGAATCCAGGAACTGTAAAGTTGCAGGTAAGAAGAAAATACTTCCCCTGCCCACATTAATAAAAATTACAAGGTGTACATAGTTCAATTAAGTCCATGTTTTAGACATCGTTTACTTGACTGCTTCAGGTTGAACCTTCCTCACAATTTAACTGAAATGTAAATAACATGATTGGAGGGATACACAGTTTTACTGGTAACAAAGAGCCAGATGCACATAATATATTCCTAGTTGGCACTGACCAATCTAGGCATAATGGACATTCTTGTGCCATTGCATTGTATGGGTCACAAACAAAGGAATAAGCATGGAAATATTCCAAAAGGCAACCTAGAATTCATGTATCTAACCCAATGTTTGCTACTAAATATAGATCATATATCTAACCCAATTTTTGCCATCTAAATACTTTCAGTATTTAGATCAAAGCAGGCTAGAGAAAATATCAATCCATCTCGACTAAATTAAAAAATGATTCCTTGAAACCATTTAGACAACTAAAAAGTTAAAATGCAAGAGTAATATTCATAAAGTCCCCACTAGCCATGTTCTGCTGAAGCTTCAAAATTCACTCAGATGACATCTGAGACCACCTACATGGGAGCTAGTCAACAACCTTGAGGGGGAAAGCAATGGGAAATATTTACCATGGAAGATAAGACCCAGATCGAAAGTCTCTGGGACACTTGTAGAGCTCTCCTCCACATTCCTAGAGGTAACTCTCTCACCACTAGCAGGCTACCTTAAGCTCAGCTTGAGGCAGATAAATGGGATATATATTACTCCTTAACTATTTCAAACTTGCTAAAAACATAGACATCTACAAGATGAAGGCTATTTGTCTCGAATAGCCTAATATTCAATCTCAACCCACCCTCAACCCTGCCACGCAAGCATCATATATTAACGTTTGTAAAAACAGTTGCTTTTAAGATTTTTTAGTTCTAAAGTCCTTCCCTCTTCCTAAGCATAAACTTTGAAATGGGATAGGATCACTTATTATATTTATCACTTTGATTTTTTTTCTTCTTTGCAACCAAACAAGATTTTCCTACTTCCTTACCACCAGCAGCCTTCTTGAAAGCCCCTGCAATTGCCTCAGTCTTTCCCCTACCCTCTTAGTGATTGATCTCTTCCAACTTCAACTTTTTTGAGTACCCTGATGAAAAGTAAAGATAGCCACCCCAAGAAAAAAGAGGAGCCTTTCCATATAGTTTCAGAGCATTCATGGACCCTAGATGTGTAAGACAGCCTTCAAGGCGATTGCCTTCCCAATGATGTATGTCCCCTCCCACAATAAATGGAGCTAATCTGTGTGAACAATATTAGAACAATGGTAGAGGATAACTTCTGAGGCTAAGGTGTGAAAGTCAGTGCCAGTTCCATCTTGCTTTTTCTGGGATCAGTGACTCTGGAGGAAGAAAGCAACCGTGGTTTGAGGACACCCAAGCAGCCCTGCGGAGAGGACCTGTGGTGAGAATTGAAGCCTCCACCAACCAGCAGCATTGGTTGTCAGCAACATTAAGAAACCTTCAGCCAGAGCCACCTCATTAAGGTATTCCTGAATTCCTGACCCACAGAAACTAGATAATCAATAGATAGTTACTATTATTGTAGCTGTCAAATGTTGGGATAATCTTTTATGCACAATGGGTAATAAATTGGGTTGTACATTTCAGCTTTGGGAATAAATATCAGAAAACCTGACCAAGACTTCAGCTAAGAAATAATGAATGGAAAGTATTTAGTTTTTCTTGCCTCACTAATGGGAACAGATAATGCTTTCAATGTAGGGTAAGAACAGTCAGTAGCAGTAGACTGAAGAAGAAACTTAGGTATAGCAGGCCCTCTAATGACATCATTTCCCACAATGTCAGTCAAGATTTTCTTTTCCTTGTCAATGTTATAAAGAAACATGTGAGGACCTGCTTTTATTATACTTCATTTCACTTAAAGTCAGTTTCCAAGAAGTTACTGATGACATTGAAGACTTACTGTATGCTCAAACCACTGTAAAACAGGAGAAGTTATGCTTAATGTATTGTACCCTTCAGCTCAAAAACAGTGTTTGAACATTTTCTAATTCAAAAGAAAGCAAGGCAGTACTTACGGAGATATTGTGATTTTAGTGTCTGTGTCCTGCTCAATTTTTTTAAGGTTTCTTCCTTCCTTACCAATAAGACGACCAACAAAGTTATTATGGGCTAAAATCTTCAAGGGAATCTCTTCTGTGCTGTAAATTAAAAATGATCATGAAATCAGGGTAACAAAACCTACTCTTGGTGAAAAGTCAATTTTAAGTAAACATTTACTCCCTTCCTACAATGCAGGAAGCTTTACACTAGGTAGAGTTTTAAAACTTGCTGACCATTAGCCTACACTCTAGCAACACATGAATAGAGAGGGCAAAAAAATATTAACAAGTATTTGGATTCAAGTTAATTTTTAAAACAACTTTCTTTCATTTACTTCAGGGAATATCTTTCCATGATGAATTCTATTAACTCTTTGAAAATACCTCTTTACTCAAATGTGTATTGCTAAACTCACCAACTCCAGGACACAATGTACAGATGCCAAATTGTATGATTTTATTACAAATTTTAAAATACATACTTGTAGACACATGCACAGTTTTAAAAGGAAATGAAAACAGAAGAAACTCGACAGTGTTATGATTTGGGAGAAGACCTTGTAAGAGCAGGAAGGGGGTTTCACTCTTCATTTTGTACCTTTCTGATTTTCTAAGTCACATACATATTGCTTAAAAAATATTAGTGGGTTATCTAGATGGTAGGGGTTTTATTTTTCTCTGTACTGAAAAAGAATTAAAATTATAATACAGCACAATGTAAGACCTTATAACTAAAATATACTCAATGTATTTTCAAGGAATCTACAAATTAAGTGTTGGTGGTTATATCCTGAAACTCGCTCACTCCAGTCACTTAATCTGAAGTCTCTTTTTACACACTCACTGTGCTACATGCTCAAGGCAGAGCAGAGCCCAAGCTCCACACACAGTTCCTGTGGGACAAAAATTTAGCCTTCCAAGTGGGAATACCCAAATCACGCTCCCATTTCGTAGCACAGGATTAGGGTTCTCTTCACCTCCATGCTCCCTGTTGCTGCAGGGTGGGGCTGAGCAGATGCTAAGAACAGTGGTCCAATTAGTTCTGAGTCAAAGAGTGAGAACTGGGGGACTATGCCTTGGGTAAATCCCGGGGCACTTCCGGGACATTGGGTGGGCTTCCTATGCCCCCCTTTTGCTGCCTTCTACAGATGGAATATCCCATGAACACCACTCACCCCATATCCCAAAAATGAATGAAATATTTAAAAGACTTAAGCTTTACAACCAAATAAATAATGCCCACCACTATAGCTCTCCAGGACAGCTCTTCCCTTTGTTTGTGGTAATTCCCAAGAATTGTGTCATAGAAAGTCAAAATTACAGAGCATGGCCATCAACATCTTCACAGGTTAATTCCTTTTACTCACAATTTTATATCTTGAGCTTCCTTATGCATAATCTCCAGAATAGATTTACAAGCCGCAGAGGTGCCTTCAGGGGTAGAAAGGATAGTAATGGATTTCTCAGCAGCACCTGCATTCTCTTTACGGTGGACATCAATTCTTATGGTGGACACAGGGAGAGAGGAAACGAGAGCTGTAAGTATCTATTCGGAATAGATTCTGTGATTATCCACTTTGAAGTGAGAGGACTTCTGGGCAGAGCAGGTGACTCACTTCCCTCAAGAGCACAGTGTTGAGCAACTGTCAAATGCATGCCTAGCGACAAACTTTTATTCCGGGAGCATACTTCTTCTTCCAGCCAAGGAGGGCCATCTTTTCATTGTGCCCAAGCTTTCTGTGCTTGAGGCTTCCTTTCAGATGCTACAGAACGAGCATCTCATGTCAAAAGCGCCTGAGTTCATACGAAGACTTCTTTAAAACACATGGGAACGGGAACGCATGCCAAGACGACTGGAGCTGGAATCACCAAACCAAGTTAAATTCTACATTCTCCACAGCATCCTCACATTATTCATCACACAAGATTTCCCTTGTCTGTTGCCTTTTTCGAGGCTCTGCTCTACATTTTGCTTCCTCAACAGAGGAAGTTCCCAACAAACAGGGACAGGAGCGGAACCAAGGAGATAGCAGTTACTTAAAAGCAAATGGCCAATAAACACATACACACTGATGAAAACAAGATGTATTTACTTCCAGACCTGCAAATATTTTGACTGGTAAGTACTGGCAAGAAAATGGGTAACAGGACACACCTAGGCTTTTGGTGGGAGTATAGAACAAACTGGCAGGACCTGTTGAAGCTAAAATGCTTACCTCCTCTTTTTGACTCAAGAATTCTACTTCTTGTACAATCTCCTACATGACGACTCACTAGTAGGTGAAGATGGTGGTTCTCACCCTTGGCACTACTGACATTTTGGACCAGATTAATTCTTTGTTGAGGAGGCTGTCCACATCGTAGGGTGTTTAGCAGTATCCCTAGACTATACTAGATACCAGCAGCACCTCCCTCTCCAGTCGTGACAAACAAAAATGTCTCCTGGTATTGCCAGATGTACACTGGGGTGGGGGAGGGCGTATCACCACTGGCTGAAAACACTGGCCTGAGGGTGTTTGTGGAAGCACTATCTGTAGCAGTAGAAAATGGGAATTATCGTTAAATGTGCACCTGGAAGAGGTAATAGCAGTATATACATAGCATACAGATGTTTTTAAAAAGTGGTAAAATTATGGATATAAACAGAAGAGGTGCTTGATCTTACATGAAAATACATATTATGATAGGCCTTCTCTTTCAAAACTATGGCTGTTATTGAAAACAAGTGCTATGAAGATACTCGGTTGTCGTAAAACAAAAAACACATCATGACTTTTCCAATGACCCAATGCACCCCCAACTTAATACCATCCTTTATTTACATACTTGTACACTTTTAATTAAATGCAGAATAACTGCTGTTGTTTAGAAGGTACAGGTGAGAAAATCAACTATCAAAAGAAGTGTGTGTTAGGGAAAAATAAGTACTTGTTAGTCCCTCTGGCCAAACACTAGAAGATAGTTATATAACTCGCAGCTATGAGATGGACCACTTCAAGCTATTGAAACCAAGGTTTTGATTTCATTTTCTTAAATATTTGGTTCAAAACTGCAGAGATGGGGCTTCCCCAAAAATAAGGCCAATTATTAAATTGTCAGAAGGAGAAAGAATGATTTCACTCATATGTGGAATGTAAAGAAACAAAACAAAGGCAACAGCCATAGCTAAACCAAAACAAACTCTAGAACCGTGGCCAGGAGGTGATGGGAGGCAGGAGGCCCACGTAACTGGTGGCGGTTACGGGATGGGCGGCGATGAGCATGGCAGGGACGCATACATTCAAGATGTGTGAACCTGTACCCCTAAGTCATACGCAGTGTTGTAAACCAATGTTACCTTTTGTAAATCAAAGTTATTTCAATAAAATAAAAATAAGGGCATTATGAAATAATTTACTATTCAAGAATTTAATCAGGCCACTCTAAAAACAACTAGGTGAAGCACAGGGGAATTTTAGAGTGGTGAAATTATTCTATTTGATACAGTAATGAAGAATATATGACATTATGCATTTATCAAAATCCATGGACCTGTACAATAGAGTGATCCCTAATGCAAACTAGACTTTAAAACACTGTGTCCAGATTTATTACTTGTAACACTGTACAACATTAACACAAGTTGTTAACAATAAAGGAAACTAAGTTTAGGAGAGGGAATAAATGAGAACTCTACAGTAAGTCCAATATTCTGTGAACATGAAAGGTTCTAAAAATTTGATTCTAGTGATTTTTTAAATTACTTAGTTATAAATTTAGGGGGGAAACATACAGGATTTGCATGGTGAAAGCTAGCTAATGTTGATAGATTGATAAATAAATGCAGTACATGTGTTTATGGATTAGAAGTATCAATGTAGTAGAGCTTTTATTCTTCTCCAAACGGACTCATATCAAAATCCCAGATAGATGAGTTCTAGCTACAAACATGTTTATGCTGAAAAACATGGAAAAGCAATAAAATCGCTATTTTTTGAAAGAGAAGTATAAAGTGGAAGGAATCAATTCACCCAATTTTAAGAGAGACAGCAATTAAGGCCACATCCATGTCTTGAATTTGTTTGGAAGAGAGTGAGACACAAAGATAAATGAAACAGAATAGTCAAAGACAAACCCATGAGTATATCCAGTGATTTTTACAAATATGAAAAAAATAGGACAATAAAGAAATGAGACAATAAGGGCTATCTAGAAATAACTAACATGTCTGAGACAGCAAGTCCCATCTCATGAACCACCTTTCCATCTCAGTGTAAGAATTGCTTATCTTCTAGTAGATAACGTGTTGAATTCCCTACATCTGATTTACCGTGTTAAGGATTACTAAATTCTCATCCTCTGAGAGAAGGGAGTGTTGTTTTACAGATTAGGTAGCCCTCTGAGGCCGTTCCAGAAACTGAGGATCTGATAATGACTAGTTTCAATAGCAAGAGTTAATTAAAATCCACTGGCAGAGCTTTACAAATGAATCATCGGATATAACAAAAACTACTTCCCTTCCCTCTCCATCCTCTATCCTCCATCTTCCTGCCTTAAATAAAACAAACAATTCCATTTAAATCACAGACGTTCTTTCTTCTGACAAGGAAATAAGTAGTGTTAAAAGAAACAGCTGTAATCTGCCATGTAAAAAGGAGGGGAAAACATTTAATAATTAGTTTCTGCAGGTAATAAGTGATCAAGGGAAGAAAGACTTTAAATTTTGATTAAAACCAGGTAAATTTAAAATTAAAATGATCTGGACTATGTTTCAACTCTTTCCTCCACCCCTTTATCATGAGGTTAAGGCCACTGATTTTGTGCAAAGGTAACCGGCACCTAATAACTGCTTCAAAGCAGGGAAGGCAGGTCAGCCTCACACCCCAGGCAAAGTGGGCACTCAGCCACCCCTGAAAACAATTCCTTTGTTTCCATGTAAGTAAGAAATGAGTCAGTTCAATTCAGGTCTGATGCCTATAGTGAATATGGATATCCTCATAAACAAGGTATACCTTGGGATTATGCTCAGTGAAATAAGCCAGAAGGAAAAAGAAAAATATCGACGGTTTCACTTACAGGAGGAATATAGGGGAACTGAATAAGAGATCAGTTATAATAAAATAATAAAAAACACAACAAAAATAGACAACTATAAATCAGACACATTCTGCAGGGGAGGAAGGAGAAGATTAAAACGAGGACAGGAAGAGCACAAGGGACTATGGAGATGGAGCACGGGTGAATTGGTGGTGGAAATTCTACAGGAACTACACCTGAGTAAAGAAAGCAAACATTGTAGAAAAAATGAACAATGATGTAAAGTATATATAAATAATTTTAAAAAGGAAAAAATATTAAAAAACAAACAAACAAGGTATACCTTGCACTATAGTTCCAGTTTCCAGAAAGATGCTGTTTAATTCTTTGAGCCACATAAAATCATCTTAAACTCAAAACGCAAAATAATTCCAAGACCATTTCCCCCACCCTTTTATAAGAAACGACACAAAAGAAGTTTGTACACAGCCTCTTCTCCCTAGTGCACTTACAGTTCTTCAGGAAACATGGCAGCAGCAGTTCCAGAGATGTGCCTGGTAGCCCCTCACAGAACGAGGGGAGGGTAAATTCATTACCAAACTTCTTTAAGTCAAAATATCCACATACAGCATTAACAGGATGATTAATGAACCAAAACTACTCATATAATGGCCCTGGAGCATATACAGTGACAATGCATCTTAGATATGTTTAAAGGCATTAATATAATTTACATAGAGTCATTTCACTCATTTGGCAAATCTACAAGCCTTTTACATATCAGGCAAATGGTAACTACTTTCTGCTCCTGAAAAGTTAGCTCCTTAAAATCTGCATATTAGGAGCCTCCCCGGTGACGCAGCGGGTTGACCGCAGTGCTGTGAAGCTGTCGGCAGCCTGTGCAGCGCAGGTTCAATTCCTGGCCGGCCAGGGAGATTCCCACATGGCACGGCAGACCTCTCCTGTCTCACCCGCTGCTCCCCTCAGCAGTGCTTTTGCTCCATCTGCCTGTTCTGCTCCCTACTTTTTCTCTGGTGAATCGTCTCACCCTACAGTACCTCTGGCCTATACCCCAGCTCTTGTATAAATAAAATCTTTTTTTAAAAATCTGCAAATTAAAACTATCAAACAGCATCCCAAAGAAAAGGTCATTTGTAACTATGTGGCTTAACATGGACTAAATTGGGACCATAAACTATCAGGACTGAAAAACTACCTCTCTATTGGACCCAGACAATTACTTCCAAAAACACTGAAGGCAGGTATCACCGAAGGTAGGGGAAGTAGAGAACAACCTAGAAGCTGCCCTTTTGTTCACCAGAGCCTCCGTCATCAGAAGTGGATTAGGTATCACCTGTTTTCCATTCACGTGTGAAAATTTGAGGTTCCCTTTGAAATTAAAGTTTAACCCCAGATTTATATAAAATGAACACTAAGATATCAAATCACAAGGTTCTTCCGGATTCCCAAGTACTGTACAAGAAAGGATCATAACCATGTTCAGAAGGACACCAAGTACCAGAACAACATACTCTTACTAAGATTCAAGGGGGAAGACAGTAACCAGCTTGACCTCAGGAATACTCACTTAGACTGGGTTTGTTTGGTGATATTCCGAATGGTGGCACCTTCTTTTCCTATAATGGCTCCAACAAATTGGGTGGGCACCAGCAGCCGCAGAGGCAAGTCGCAGGGCTTCTGCTTGGATACGGATCCCGGAGACCCCTGCCTCGATGAGCCTCTCTGCCCAAACCCACGGCGACCCCGGGGCTGCTGCAAGGGGGTCGGCTGGGCAGACGCCTCATCAGGGATGTAGGCCACTTTCAATGTGAAGCTCTCCAGTTGGAATCCATTCAGTTTGTCTAATGCTCTGTAAGTGGACAGGGAACAGGGTGTGGGAAGAACTGTATAATAAATCTTCAGCCAAACAATATCCATCTCCTTTTCCACTCGGGATTATGTTGACTCTAAATTTTCTGAATAAAGTCTCTGAACACAAAGCAAACCCAGAACATACAACAAACCCCTCCTTCCCTAAATTTGCCTTTCAAGCACACACTCAAAGAAAAAAAAACATCAAATTTCCAAAGGACACATTTGTCATCTACCAATGAAAAATAAAAAGGAAAAATTTTTGCTAAACTTTTGCTTAAGCTATAACCCACGAGGTTGGGACAGCTTAGGAGTAACCCAAACAGCATGAGAAGTTTTCATCCTGCCTAGTCTTTCCAAATAAGGACAGGAGAAAAAAAAAAAAAAACATTAGAAATATATACCACCCATATATATATATATATATACACACACACACACACACACACACACACACACACACCCCACATTCATTGCACCCTCTTAAAAATACAAGTAATTAAAACATTTTAAGAATCAAAGGATAAAAATCTTTGAGCCACTTATGGAGATTGGTAGAATTTAGTACTCAGGATGATCAATTACTCAATAAATTCTCAGCACCTATTATGAGCTAGTTCCTGAGAAAACAGCAGCCCCTGACCTGGTAGAGTTGATGACCTGAGTTGGAGCACAGAGGCAGGGCAGTAGTATACAAACAAAAAAATGAAGCCATTTCCTACCTTATCCATTTACTTGGAGAAGAGCTTTACTTTTTTTTCATTTTTGAACCTTATTATGGAAAAGTACTCAAATCTTAAGCAAACATCTCAAACTTTTCACACAGTAACATGAATACCCAGATCTAGAATTAGAATACAGCAGTATCCCAGAAGTCCCGCCAGTACCTCCTTCCAGTAAATGCCCCTCCCCTAGACTTCCAACACCAAAGATTAATTTTGCCTGCTTGCAAATCCTACATAAATAAGTACACGAGGGCACTTGTTTTGTACTTTCTCACTGTTTACTTATTACATATGTAAGATTCCTCCAAACCACTGTGGTCTACCTTACTTACCTATTTTAAAAGGGAGAAGTGAATAAAAAATTAATAAAGAAGATTATGACCAAGATGTCAAAAGTACACATAAACTTTAATAGCACATGTGTCCCAATACACCACAAAATGAAAAATAAAGGTCCCTCACTTCCCCTGGGGTTACAGGGTTTCTCAGATACTTTGCTCAGATTCTGTTCCAAACAGGCCCTGAGTTCAGCTCAGGCAGGGAAACAAAAAAAATCTCTCCCTAGCTGCTCAGAGTAGTCATTTTTGGTTCACATTCTACTTTCCTTATTTGACGATATTTCAATTTTCCACTTAGATGGGAAGGGGTGGGGGGGTGGAGGGGAAGAAAGATGGTCCTAGCATCAAAGAGCACAGAAGGGCATGGGCTTGGAAGGCAGGCCAAGGCAACCAGCCAAGATAGGCTGACAACCTGAGAAAGCAGAATTGTGCTATCTTTGCTCATTTCAGTCCCACTACATTGCTGTCCCACATTCCTAGGACATGAATGAACTCATAAAAGATCTCAGCGATACAGAAATACGAAAGTAACAAGAAATTTCTGTTACTATCATCAACTCTAAGACCCTTCTTAGAATCACTGTTAACCTCTGCAAATAAACCAGTCCTTTCCATGTTTGCACATGTGTACATGTTTAGTGCCATATTTAAAAACAAAACTGGGATGATATACACAGCTTGTAGCGTGCTTTTTCCCCAAACACACTGTATCTTAGAGTATCTCCATGTGATTTCTATGTCAGAGGGCATTTTTCTCTTAAGTCTCGCAGCATGGTACATAGCACGACTTATTTTACCAGTGTCCTGATAATTTAACATACTGCTCCTTGGTTCCTCCCTCTTCCATTTTTCTTAAGGGAAATGTAGATTAAGACCCGGGCCTCCCCTGGTGGCGCAGCGGTTGAACGCTGGGCTACGAGGCTGCCCGCAGCCTCTGCAGCGCCGGTTCATTCCCCGGCCACCAGCGAGGGTCCCCCCCCCAAAAAAAAATACACCAAAAAACCCCTAAAATATTTGGTATTTCTAAAGGAAATAAAGCTGAAATTTATTAATACTGATGATGTTTATTCATTATAGAAGTTTTGAATTGCAAACTTTTCAGTGAGTGAAATATTCATTAAAAACAACTTTCAATTTTCTTTCAAAGGCCAGGATAAAGAGATCATTGAACGGTCTTTAAAAAAAGAAAGCTGAAGCCAATGAAGAAATCAACTAGACTACAGACATTAAAGTCAATACATTTCACCACACTCTCCTTTCTCACTATTAAACTGATTATTGCCAGGTTCAGAAGAGAGTAAGTAAATTTTGACTGTGGAACTGTTAGGAATGTTACACAAAAAGGGTAAACAACTTGTTTCTTGATTGAGAGAGACAAACAGGCAGACACAACAGACATCCTTCTCTATGGGGATAAACAGATAAACATGTATGTCTTTAATGCTTCTATGTATTCTGACGCTATCTAAATAAAATCACATGTGTCCCAAGAAACCACGCATTCCACTTGGCATTGGCATAAACTATAACTTGCAAACTTCATTGTGCTGTTTTGAAAAGACATTTCTTTTTTCTTTTTTTAAGATTTATTTATTTATACAAGCACTGGGTACAGTCAGAGCGTGGGAGGGTGAGAGAGTTCACCAGAGCCAGAGCGGGGAGCAGAACAGGCAGACTGATGAAGTACACTGCTGAGGGGAGCAGCAGGAGAGGTCTGCGCGCCATGTGGGACCCTCGCTGGCGGCCAGGGATTGAACCGACGCTGCAGAGGCTGCGGGCAACTTCACAGCCTAGCGATCAACCGCTGTGCCACCAGGGAGGCCCAAAAAGACATTTCTTTGAGGGGATAAGATTGTCTCATTCAGGAGGTCAAATAGCCTGGTGCTCCTGTACCCAGTGCAGAGTCTAGACCCCCAAAGCTCCAAACTCAGGTTGTTTGTCAAAGAGAAGACAGCACATACTGTGTCCCAGGCTCTAACTGCCAACTAAGCAGTTAGAGATCCTGACCCCTCAAGCCACAGTGCTCCATAATTGGACACAGTTGAAAATGTACAGCACTGCAAGTCATGGCTCTCTCATAACGAAAGATTCTACATTTCTGAATTCTCAGTCAACCACTGAAACTTTTCTAGGCATAAAGCTTAATATTCAGCTGTGTCATTTGGTGGTTTGCTGAATTCATGGGAAAAACATATTTTCATTAAACTACTGTATATGCAAGCTGTATGATGAGCAATTGTAACTATTCAAAACATGAATCCAATCAACACAAAAATGTTTATCCAACATTTGTATAACTCAGAGAGTCCTGTTTCCCAGCATTACTTGATGGCTCTGACACCATTTTTAAGAACCATTAGGAAGATGCTGAGTCGTTTTACTAATTGGTAGCACTTAATTGTATTCTTAAGAAATTTATTGGGTACTTCACAGTTTCAGCTGAAAGGATGCTGAGAGAGTAGTTAAACTTAAGCGGTATAACTCCATGACAAGGTAGGGGCAAAGAAGAAATGAGACAAAGAAATCAAACTGACCCAAGGTTACACACAGATGTGAGGGCTAAAAAAGAAGATGGCCTAGAGACCAGAATTCAAGTCCAATTTGAGCAGTAAGTAGGCATGCAACCGTTGAGAGGTCATTTCCTTGCCAGGCATTAACATGCCTACAAAACTGAATATTTACAATTCTTTTCAACTCTAAAATTGCATGACTAAGCTCCTTTTTCTTATTCCCAGACCTAACTGCTGTATGTATCACATGGGTTCTAACAAAATGAGGTTTACACATTACCGAGATATTGGACAAGTCTGTTTTCTCCTTGTACCAAGAATAAGAGGTTGAGAATACAATTTAGTAGTAATTACTGAATGCCTGATAATATCACTTGCAGGGATCCATCTTAACTTAATAATCATGTACAAAGTCCAAATATTTACCTACAAAGAACTTCATTATGTCTAACCTGATTCTAAAATAAAATACTGGAAACAGTCTATATGGATGTGAAGTAGGTATGGATATATATAGACTGTGATAGGAACAAAATACTGCAGAGAGATTACAAACTGTACAAATATAGTTAATGGAAAGATAAACCACAAAACTCCACAGGATGAACTTTGTAACTTAAAGAGTTACAGCACACAGAGGGAACAGGTCATTAAAAGGGAGAGGACTTGGTGTAGTGCCCCACTTGGCCTCCAGGTCTTTCACAGCTTCCAGCTGCACTGTGCTGTGACCAGCATTTGGTCTGTAGGAGAACACCAAGCAAGATTTTGTCATTTTCAGTGGAAAACAAGGGTGGTTACTAACTGTAGGACCATGTACTTTGGTTCTGGATCTGCTGGCCCTTTATCGTGAGGCACCAACTACTTAAGAAATAAGATGTTTTCGGGCCTCCCCGGTGGCGTAGCGGTCAAGTGCTGGGCTGCAAAGCTGCCCACAGCCTCTGCAGTGCCGATTCCATCCCTGGCCACCGGCGAAGGTCCCACATGGCGCGCAGACCTCTCCTGCCGCGCCCGCTGCTCTCCTCAGCAGTGTACTTCGTCGGTCTGCCTGTTCTGTTCCCCGCCTGGTGAATTCTCTCACCCTCCCGCACTTCTGACTGTACCTAGTGCTTGTATAAATAAATAAATCTTAAAAAAAGAAAAAAAAGAAATAAGATGTTTTCATATCCATGAAACATACATGAAGAGGAGTATTTTAAGAAGTGAAATCTCTGATAAATTCAAAACTCAGCATACTAGACATGCTTGTAAATAAGTTTTGGCATGAAACCTTAATGCCTCTTCTCTGAAATATGAAAAAACAAATAAATAATTAAAAAGTGATGATGCATGGAACAAAGTCAGTAAGACTCCATGGCATGTTTAACAGTGGCTAACTCTGAATGGCAAGGAATTCCTTTGTCTCACTGCTTTATCTGTTATTTCCTT